GGCCGGCCCGAGTGCACCCGCCACCCGCCGCGGCGGAGAACAAACGCTCGGTGACTAAAGTACAAGGTGTGCCTCTGGCACTCCGGGAGGATAGTAGTAATGAGAGGTCTTCACCATCTGCAAATCGTGTGCATCACGTGAGGCGCGCCCACTGCTAGCCGCTGATAAGGTGATGTCAGTACTTCACTGGGTTGTCCAAGAAAACGCGGTAAACAACTGCAGCAGTCCCGTTTCCACCCCTGATCTGTGACCGTGCTCACAATCGGCAGCGTGGATTGCTTCCGTCAGCCTGCCTTGGCTTCTGGGCTTTCCACAAGTACCTTCCACTTCTCCCTCCAAAGCAGCCATGCCCTTACTGAGTAACTCAGCTGCCCTGCTGGGCTTTGTTCTGCAATGCCAGTGAGTTTTTAAAATGAGAATGCTGCAACTCTATTTAGAGATGCAAGAAGTTAACATTTTATGCTAGTTCTATAACCATACGTTGTATGTTTTCTTACCTTTTTAAGTGTTTTGAGAAAACATCTTTTTAAAATTCTTGGGTTTGATACAGGCCTTTCCTTTGTTGTTTTCAGAGGAGTGTTGGGTTTTTTTTTTTTTTGTATGATACTTGTACAAACACTTGATTTGGTTGTAAACTGCATTTGGCTAGGTGGAAATCACGAAAGTTGGAGGTCAAAATTTTGTTTGTTTAAGCAACTATGGTTTTAACTGTGAGTCATCTGTCCTTTCATGATGTGTCAAAAGTGGGCAAGAATAATTGAACAGTGAAGTAAAGGACTGACAGATTCCCACATGAGACTTTATATGCGCTACCAGGTGACAGAAGAAGGGCAGGAGCTGCTGGTTGTCTGTCTTAGACCTCTCATGACAGGTGAGGTGAAGTGAGTGCCAACAGCAGCGCCCATGCCTTCGCAGGCTGGCCTGATCTGCCCCCTTTAGCACCCTGATAGGTATTCCAGGACCTGCTTAGCTAAGCAGTGATAGCAGATAGAGCTGCACTTCCATAAGCTGTTGCTTCTGCTCTTCCTTTCTTGTGCTTTTGGCAGAATAACTTCTCCATAGGCCAGGTTTCCTGAGATATGAAAAAGTGTGTTTTGCAGTGAAAATGGGAATTCCACAGTTCCCTTTACTTGATGGCTGTTAGACTTGAGAAAGTGACTTTGCTTTTATCGTAACTGGCTAATTCTTCTCTCTCCTTTCCTGGGACCCCGTATACCCACATGTGGGTTGGTTGTAAGCGAGGCAGAGTTCACACAGTGGCACGGGGGAGTTAGCAGGTGTGGTGGCCTCAGCTCAGGTGTGCTTGGTCCACGTGAAGAACGGTTTTGCACTCAGGACTTTCCAGTGCCAATTGCACATGAAAAAAAACAGCACCAAGAGTCAGGGAACACCCGCCCCCTAGATTCTGCTAGTGCTCCAAAGAAAATTGCTTCTTTGCCACACGAGAAATATCCATCTCTGTATTCAAGTGTTGAGTTTAATACTAGCTGGTCTCCCGACTCTCTTCCTTTTGTCCACACTAAGTATAACAGTCAAGAGTATGTCTCAGTTTCCTCTAAAAGTCATTCAAGCCTAGTCAGAGACCACATACTCTTCAAAGTGAGTTAGACTGTGAAAAGAAACTGTTCCTGTGCTAAAGTGACTTTGAAATGTCTCCACTTTTTCTTCCCTGTTCTCAGTGTGGGCTATGTGAGTGTAGCACTCATTGAAGATGAGTGCTGCTGCACAGATCTGAAGTCATTTTGCCTGGAGTTAATTTGTGAAGTACTTTCACTGAAACAGTGGGAACGTCTCCCAAGTAGTTCTTTCGCATAAGCAGCAGACTGCTTAATCTGCGTCCTGCCCACAGGCAGGGTTCTGCCAAACCTCCCCAGGCCTGAGAACCTGTGCAGCTCCTGTGCCTGGCTGTGTTTTCTGCAGGAGGGAGGGAGGAAAGGATATATACATATAAGAATGTATAAGAATACAAGCATATGTGCCTTTCATAAGGCTGACAAAAAGTATTTCATCTTGCATGGGGAGATGTGTAGGTAGGCTGGCTGAATAAGACACTGTTTGCTCCTAGGTGTGACAGCACATTAAATCCCTGGCATCTCCTGTATACTCAGGAGCTCTAAAGTGCACCTTGACTACATCCTTATTTAAAGGAAATAAGCATTTTATGTTCACTAGGTGCAAAATCTGACTTGTGTATGAAAATTTTAAGAACTGTTCTTTAACCAGCTGGATTGGTGGAATTGCAAGAAGTAACTATACAAGAATTCTGGCATGATGCTGCTGTGATGTTGTGGAATAATTAGCTGTGGGGATGTTCCATCCTTATCGGAGCTGTATTTGCTGTATTCCTCGTGTTTGCTTTGAGGGAGACGGGTCCCTGAAGAAATAGGCATACCCACTTTGGGTTTTCATGTGTGTAAATAAGGCAATACTCCACGTTGTTAACCCTGCTGTTTCCTACCTGTCAGCTAAAATCAGGTAAACCTGTAACGAGTCAGTTTAGTGTTTCTGTTGGTTTTGTAGTCCCTGATAAGAGCTAGTTCTCATCTGCATGTGCTCCTGGCAGTGCGTGTATTCACTGAGGGGCACAGTGTTCTTACTCTCACACCACAACTTTTGCAGACTAGTCCTTTTGCCATGGAAGCCGAAGAAACGATGGAATGTATCCAGGAATTCCCTGAACACTATAAAGTTATTTTGGATAGACTGAATGAACAACGTGAGCAGGACCAGTTTACAGATATCACTCTGATTGTCGACGGTATGTACAGGCCTGAGAGGCAGTTGGTATTCACAGAGTTCTGAAAGCTGTGCTGGGGAGACCTCAAACTGGGATGGGATGAAACAAATTCTGGGTTTTGTACCAGTGTGCAAGTTGCCTGTAGAGCTTCATTTAAAAGCTCAGGGTGAACAATCTCCAGCAGTGATTTATAATTTTGCTTCTGCTTCTCCAAACAAGGGGCTAAATAGTTATCAGACAGAAGCCCACTTTGAAACTGCTGTGCTGTATTTCACATGTTGTCCAAGGATTTCCAAAACATCATTAACATATTTTTCCCTAACCTGAGCTGACTGTTTACATGCCGAGAACTTATACAAATATTGTGTTTAAAAATAATAAAAACAACACACAGAAATAAGATTACTTCTTGCTTCTCTGCTATCTACTTATTAGTTTAATATATAGCTAAAACAAGGTAGAAGCCTTCACTTTTGTTTTTATATGTGTTCTAGGGACATAAGTATTAGTTTTAAAGGATGATGGAGATATAAGTGCTTGCTATCTCCTTAAAAAAGGAGGTATCTGGTAGATTACCTAAGATTGCCTCTTATCTGAAACATATCTTAAAACAGATGTGGACTTAAGGAAGACGGGTAGTTTCCCCTAGGGCAGACTTAGCCCTGAGTACCGTCTGATCTTTAAAAGGATAGCAAGAACCCACTTGAAGGAAAAAGGTCCCAGAGAGCTTGGATTAAAAAAAAAAGTAAGCAAATGGGAAGAAAAAAAAACTATTACTCTTCAGGAATTGCTGTAGTTTAATTGACAATACTTGCATAAAACTTGCCCTCAGTGTTTGTTCCTGCTCTGGTGTTACCCGGTTGGTGCGTGGAGCTCAAAGCTGGGCTTGTGTGCAGCTGTGTGGATGTAACCCACATTGCTTGTCTTACCTCTGCCCCCTGGGGCGTTAGGAATGTTCACAGCTGCACCAGGGAGAAGGCAACACAGTGAGGTTAGAGTGCAGAGTCTGGAGAACAGCAAATACAGAGCTGAGGTGCTTCTGCAGCGGTGTGCTGGCAGAAGTGGTGGTGAAATACATCCATCTAACAACAATAAAAATCACAAAGAACCTGGATAAAACCTGAGAGCTGAGACCAAGCCATACAGGAAATTTTTCACAGAAAATTCCAGTCATTTAGATATCTGAAAAAAGAAAGACTGGAGTAAGTCTTGTAGCCAATCGAGTTGCAGAGCATCAGCGAGGTCAGTGGTGTCAGCAAGTGTCTACATGAGATGGGACAGGCTAGCTGAAGTCGTGCCCCATGTTAGAAGGAGACATACTAAGTGAATGTATGCTGCTGGAGTAGATTTGTAGACTGGATGGTGTATTTTCTGCATCTGCACTTATTCTACACTATGAGCGAGGAAGGCGTTACCCTAAACCAAATTATTTTTTTCTCTCTGTAGGTCACCATTTCAAAGCTCATAAGGCTGTTCTTGCTGCCTGTAGCCAGTTCTTCTACAAATTCTTCCAGGATTTCACTCAGGAGCCCTTAGTTGAGATTGAAGGTAATCTGATTTGTGCAGAGAAAAACTTTCAGAGTTGCGTGCCCAAAATGGAAACAAATGCAGTGTCCCTGCTATGGGCTTACATAAGTGCTGGGTCTTATCAGTTAGCTTTGTAAACCTCTGCTCTTGAGTTGTTCCAAAGCAGCTGCCACCACTGGGAAAAAAAATGCTCCTGAAGAAAAATTAGAACAGTCCTGAATTAAATATTTTGGAAGGTAAAGTGTGAGGTTCTCTGGGTGGGTTTTTTGCTGGTGTGTTTGTTTGTTTGTTTGTTTGTTTGTTTGTTGGTCTTCTTACTTCCCCTCCAGTGCATGGCTAATAGAGGTCAGACAGACCCTGTGTATTTTTAGGACTAACAGTGTGACATACAGCCTTTTCCCTGATAACAGACACTATGGTCAGATGAAAAAGACTGCCATTGACAGCCAATGGCAGATGCCTTGGCTGAGATGCAAGACAAGGATAGACATGAAGAAATACTTCCCTGGTAGGCAGGGAGCAAATTCCTGAAGCAGTATTTCAAACTTTAGTAACTTGCTGCTCATAGATTTCTTGAGAGTGAGGTAGTGATTTTGTGTTTTAAATCTATACCTTCTCTTATTTAAACATCTTTTTGTCCATCTTGTCTTTCCCTCTGTCTTTGTTGTTGCATAACTGTAGTTGTTGCAGATTCACGTTTCTTTATGAGACTTTTTATTCCAACATGATCCTTTAAAGTGTGTCATCTTTATGAAACTGGCAGCTACAGTACTCTGAGCAAATATGGTGAGCAGGCAAGTGTGCAAGATTCATCACATAGGTAAGGCTGAGAAATTGCTAAAAGAAACCGTTGTTTTTCATGCCTGTATGCAGGTGTAAGCAACATGGCATTTCGTCACCTAATTGAGTTCACCTACACAGCAAAACTAATGATCCAAGGTGAGGAAGAGGCAAAAGATGTTTGGAAAGCAGCCGAGTATCTACAGATGTTAGAAGCAATCAAAGCACTTGAAATAAGGTAAGCACATAAGCCTCTTTTTCTTCATAACATTGAAATGTAGATCACGAGACTTCTTTTACACGTGCGGGATGCCAGTATTTTGCAGTGCTGTTCCTTATCCTAGAACCTCCTAAACTTGTGTGGGACCATATACTCTTACTACTATAAGATATAGGTCAGAATTACACAGGCCAAAAAAATGACTGTCATATTCTTTGGGCTGGAACTTGATGACCAAGGACACAGGTGGTAAGTGTTGCAGGCATTGTAGGGCTGTGACTTTGTGGTGACTAACACCAGGTCTCTGTGCTGCCTGTTCATACACCCGGCTGTCGGGTGTACAGTGAGGATGTGCCTTGAGTATTTAACAGGCATGAACAAGCTTGGGCTGGTGTTTGCATCTCATGCAGCTTTCTGCTATTTCTGAGAGAATAAGCAGTCACCGTAAAAGTTCTTAAAACCTATCCTACAAGGACAGGCTGGGGGAGCTGGGGTTGTGCAGCCTGGAGAAGAGAAAGCTCTGGAGAAACCTTATTGCAGTCTTAAAGTACTTAAAGCGGACCTACAAGAAAGCTCGAGAAGGTCTTTTTACAAGGATTTGTAGTGATTGGATGAGGGACGGTGGGTTCAAACTGAAAGAGGGTAGATTTAGGTTAGACGTTAGGAAGAAATTCTTCACTATGAGGCAGTGGAACAGGCTGCCCAGGGAAGCTGTGGATGCACCACCACCAGAGTTTTTCAAGACTGGGTTGGATGGAGCTTTGAGCAGCCTTGTCTAGTGGGAGGTGTCCCTGCCCATGGCAGTGGGGTTGGAAGTAGATGATCTTTAAGGTCTCTTCCAACCCAAACCATTCTGTGATTCTTGCTGCAAACTTAACCCTACACTTCTTGAATTAATGTACTTGTTATAGTCAGTTTTAGATAGGATCAATACTTTATCAGGTGTTGCTGTAGCACCTTTTGTCCAGTATCAGGAACTGTACTGCATTGCCAGACTCCAGCCTGAGAAAAGGGGGTGCCAGTCCCATTGTGCTTTTTTTTCTTCCCCTTTCTTCCCTTTTACTTTCACAGAGTGCTGTCACATTCTCACTCCTTCTGCATGCTGCACTGTTCTCCCCACGTGAAGCAGAGGGAGGGGAAGAGCTTTCCCAGCATTATGCCAATTCCTGCTTTCTTTTCTGGACCTGCTGGGAGACCTTTGCATTCAGGCTAAAGGGGGACTGTTCCTTCCTCTTTGCCTCCCATGCACCCGTTAGCCAAGGAGAGCGGCATCAGCCCCAAGTTCCTCTAGTAGCTAGCTAACATAGTGTTTAAAAAAACAACTCCATTAAATGATACACTGGAAACTTAGTATTTGACATCAGAATTTGTTTCCAATTTAACTATTGTGTGCTTATTCTGTAGATTGGCGGTAGAGCTGAATAACTATGTAATTTTGTTTTTACTAGGAAAGACAAAGGATTGTGCATTTCTAGTACTACCCTCCAAACCACAAACACCCTCTTTAATGTTATTAAGATTGAGAGGTCCCATCAAAATATTTTTAAATTATTATTATTCAGGAAAAAGCTGAGCTTGGCTGTCTGCATGAGGAATTTAAAGGAAATTTGTAACTGAAGAAATATGTTCTAATCATCATCCCTTTGAGTTA